CTATTCAAGCCCTTCTTGGCATCGGGACCTGGGTTTGAGTCCTGGCTGTACAACTTACAACTCAGTGAGGAGCCTCAGGGTGGTCAATCCCATTGTGCATGGGAGACAACAGGTTCAAAAGGGCTGAGTAACTCACCCAAGGTCACACAGCTAGTTGGGGGCAGAGCTGGGATTTGCATACAGGCCAACTGCCTACAGGGCCACTGGGCACCTGTGCTATTGTGGGCCGAACTTTTCCAGAACAGTCCCCAGTTTTCCTAACAGCACGGAAGGGAACCTGTAGCTTTCTAGGGGCAGGATCAGTTGTTCAAAGAAGCTCAGTCTGATGAGCTGGCCCAAGCCTCGGTAGAGGACTCCTGCCCCACAGACCGCCAAGAGAAGCAGGCATTGTGGTCCCTCCCCAGGACGGCTGACCCCAGGTATGCTACTTTCCCCAAAGGGTAATGGACTCTCCTGAAACTTCTTGTCATCAGAATCTAGAATCTTTCTTCTTGTGGAAAACAGTAAAAGAGTTGGCACTTCATGTGGAATGAGGCAGGAGACAGGAGGGGTAAACTCCCTTGGTCTCCATTAGCCTGGGCCCTGCGCCTGCCTTGCCCTTCGCACCAGCCTGTAAGGGAGCTGCTCTCCCAGGAGGCCTTTGGCAAGCCCTCCAGCCCTCCAGCCCATGGCCAGCTTCTCCCTGCCCTCCCTTGGATAGACAGATGACACTGGCAACTGTGGTGCCTAATATCAGGAGGTCACCAGGTGGCTGGAAGAAATGGGGCCAGGGCCCCAGCCATCTGCCAGGTGGTAAGGGCTCATGCACTGGGAGCGGGACTGGGAGATGTCACATATTTCCCTGGTGGTTTCCTGGTAAATAGAACCTTGATCCAGGAAAAACAAGCAGCAGGCCACAGCCCAGGGCCAAGGTAAAAATGATATCTTCTAATGAACTCAGATCCACACACACTGAGGCTGTCAGTGCTCTTGGGGACTTCAGCTAAAGTCTGGGAAGAGAGTCTTCCAAAGGCAGAGGTGGGGACCCAAGAGTCCCTGACCCCAGCCTGGAGCTCAAGCTTGGGGCATTCTGAATGCCTCCAGAAAGAAAGTCTTCAGGGGCCTCACCGGCCAGCCCTGGGGGAACACAGCAAGAGTGGCATTGAACCATCTGAATCGGCGTCACCTCAGTCTTGCCTTGGGGAAGGAATGAATGCTCCTGAGTTCCTGGCAGTGGTAACACATTTGAGGAGTGCAGTCACTGCCAGTCACTCCTGCCCTCCTCAGCTCTGCCCTCCTGGACAAGTGGCTGGAAAGTGAACTCTGCAAGCAAAGGCAGTCCTGCACCTTCCAGCCTCCTATTTGAGCAGTTGTCCCAGGATCCATCTTCAGACTCCCTCCCTTCCAGCCACCTGGGGCCAGGATGACTCTGCAGAGAGGGAGTTGCCTCTTCCTCAGGTGATGGGTCACAGGAAGGAAAGAGATGACCTCAGCAGGGTCAATATCCAGTGCATTGGGTGCTAAGAGCAGAACACAGAGCTTTGGTCTTTGCCATCAACAAGTTCTCGTTTTTAGGGGACTTCTGGATAGACAATTCCTTTCTTTTCCTCTTTTGGCAGTGGGGTGAAGTGGTCTCTTCTCTGTTTAATCAGATAAGACTTCTAGAGGAAGTAGTATCAGAAGGCCCAAGGCAAGGGAGGACATGCTGTGTTCTGCACATCTGAATCCATCATGGGCATTGGATCCTAGTTCATGTCTCAGACACAGAGCAACATCATGTGGCCATGAGGCCTGGAGAAGAAGGGGGCAAGGAGGTTCTTCTTACCCCCAAGCCTGATCACTAGGCCCCTCAGAGTGTCACAGGTCACTAGAGGCTTTCAGAGGTCATCCTTTCCATTCCCCAGCCTCCATGGAGGACTCCCAAGCCATCCCTGTGGGATTTCTCTAACCCTAAAGCTTTTCCCAAGGAGAAAAAATTATTGCTACTTAGATCTCTCATCCAGAGGCCTGTGGACATTTACTCTATGGAAGTTCTCTGTTGTATCTAACCTCCTCTGGGCTGGTCGGCTAGCTCAGTTGGTTAGAGTGCAGCCTTATAACACCAAGGTCAGGGGTTCAGTTCCCCATATTGGCCAGCCACCCAAAAAAGAAAATATATCTAACCTCCTCTTGCTGTAAGGGATGAACAGCCACATAAGGCCTAGAGACAGGAACACAGGCAAAAATAGCCTCTGGAGGTCACCAGGATGCATTGAACAGTTCTAGAAGCAAAAAAGTTGTCCTGGACTCCCTTTCAGATAAGCACAAAGGGAGCAGCTCTGCTGTATGCCGAGGAGCTCGGCTCAACAGAAATCCCAGCCCTGGGAGGACTCTGGGCTCCTTCTCCTTTTAAGGCAATGTCTGAGCTCGCAGGGCTGCACGAGCTGCAACAAGCCCCAGCCCCACTCATTCCTGGCTATTTGGAGGAAACCGATGATTAATCAGCCCTTTTCCCCCACCCCCAGCCTGTTTTTCATTAGGTTCTTTTTAAAGGGTTGGCACACCTTCTCAAGAACAGACACTTGGCAGGTCCTAGCCAACTAGGACCCTGGTGTGCAGGGAGTTGTATCTAACCTCCTCTGGGCTGGTCGGCTAGCTCAGTTGGTTAGAGTGCAGCCTTATAACACCAAGGTCAGGGGTTCAGATCCCCATATTGGCCAGCCACCCAAAAAAGAAAATATATCTAACCTCCTCTTGCTGTAAGGGATGAACAGCCACATAAGGCCTAGAGACAGGAACACAGGCAAAAATAGCCTCTGGAGGTCACCAGGATGCATTGAACAGTTCTAGAAGCAAAAAAGTTGTCCTGGACTCCCTTTCAGATAAGCACAAAGGGAGCAGCTCTGCTGTATGCCGAGGAGCTCGGCTCAACAGAAATCCCAGCCCTGGGAGGACTCTGGGCTCCTTCTCCTTTTAAGGCAATGTCTGAGCTCGCAGGGCTGCACGAGCTGCAACAAGCCCCAGCCCCACTCATTCCTGGCTATTTGGAGGAAACCGATGATTAATCAGCCCTTTTCCCCCACCCCCAGCCTGTTTTTCATTAGGTTCTTTTTAAAGGGTTGGCACACCTTCTCAAGAACAGACACTTGGCAGGTCCTAGCCAACTAGGACCCTGGTGTGCAGGGAGTACCCAAGAGGGAGTGGGGAGTAGCCCTGGATGAGGACAAAGGGGAGAGGTCAACATGTGGGGTGTCAGGGCAGAGAGAGGGTTAAAATGTTGGAAAATGAGTTCTGGCTGGGGGAGGGGGAGAAGGTTCTGAATGGGAGAGCCGGGTCTGAAGGGGGCTGGGCAAGAGGAGGACACTGGTGTGGGCAGCGGGAGCACTCAGGCACCAGAGGGATGCTGGGCACCTTGGCCCCTGATGGGGAAGGTCAGATATGGTTACACTGACTTGGTGGCTGCTGAGACCTGAGACAGTCAGGTCTGAAATCTGGTTTTTCCTGAACTTGCTGGGTGATGTTGGCTAGGTTCTCATCTCTCTGGATCCCCAATTTCCCTCTAAGTGGAGCCTGTGAGTGGCGTGGGAACTCTGCAAGGGGCAGCTGGGCAGTGCACAGTGGGCTGTGAGAAATCCTGAAGTGTGCACATTTTGGGAAGGGAAAGAGAGGGGAGGGCAGGAGTCTCTGCTCTGGGGGCTGTTCCACCCAGCTCTCACCTCCAAGCTCCCAAAGTGGACAGAATCTGTGATGAAACCACTCTGAACTGGGTGGAATTGGGGATGGGGAGAGGGGATTCTCTGGCCAAACTGTGCAGACCTTATAAGAGTGTCCTAAAAGGGCTGACCCCTGTGTCCTCATTTATGTTCTATTTGCATGCCCCTCTCTTCCTCTCCCTTTCAAATCAAGGTACACTAAGTCACCACCACTTCTGCTCCCAGGGTGATCTGAAGGGTCAAACCCAGTTCCCTGGGAGCCAGAGTGAGTGTGAGGGGGGCCCTCTGCTCCCTGCTCCATCATCACAGTCCCAGTGAGGCCCCCAGTGCAGCAGGACCCCAGGGTCTATGGGGCAGGAGGCAGGAAGGGGTGCATTCCAAGGCCCCAGCTCACCAGGTGCTGTGCCCCTTGGCTGCCTATTGTGATTCTAGCCTAGGAGCCAAGGACTTTTGCTGCTAAATAAACCCAGAGGCTGATCCCCAATGGCATGTGTTTGTGGTGCAGGTACAAACTGTTTCCATAGGACCAGCCTTGCTCTCCATTCCCTCTGGGAAGGGTGGGGCTGAGGCAGGACTACATAGCCAAAGAGGAGTGCTGCTTTCCCTTTCTTCCCTCCCATCTTCCCACACCCCACTGGGCACTCTTGAAAGAGAAAACCCTTCCAAGTATTCAGGCCATAGTCTTCCTCGTGAAAAGCCTTTAGGGAAGGACATCATAGCATCCCTTGAGGCCCAGGTTGCTCTGGGGTCTCCATCACAGTTGGACAGTTAAATCTAATACCTAATCTTAGGCAATCCTGCTGCTTCCTGTGCTCCTCTGATGAAGGTGAGAAGCAAGTACTCTCAAAATAGAACTCAGACTTGATGCAACTTCGTGGAGGGAGAAATAGGGTCCCATGGAGGCACGGGCCTGTGCTGCAAATTTTTAAATAAAGACAGGATAAGTGTTTGTGATTTTTCCTTTCACCTCAGGTTCCAATATGACTTGGCAGACTTTGCTTAGAAGTGGTCCTTCTAAATCACCCATGACAGGAAAAGGCAGTTCTAAGTTTGAGAATGCTTCTGTAGGAACTGCCTCAATCTCTGCAGGTGCTTATTTTGTGTCTCACCGCCCTGGGGCCTGGAGCCTGACGTCAGCTCATCTCTGCAACTTGAACCCAAGTCCCTCTTCTGCTGTCCTCAGCAGAGATGTTCACCTGACTCTCAAACACCAACTGTCCTTCAGAGGCCAGAGGGCAGTTACATAAGCACTCCCCCATTTGTCCCCACTCTCATTCCTCTGCTCTGGAGCCAGCTCTTCATGTTTATTTTTCTTTTCTGAATTCTTAGGAGAGCAAGCAAGCGGAGACCAAGACAGATGCCAAGAATGGAGAGGAAAAGGGCAGAGATGCCAGCAAAAAAGCCCTGGGCCCCAGGCGGGACTCAGACCTGGGGAAGGAGCCAAAGAGAGGTGCTTTAAAGAAAAGCTTCTCCAGAGACAGAGATGATGCTGATGGCAAAAGCAGTGAGAAGCCCAAGGAGGAGAAGGTCATCAGAGGCATTGACAAGGGCCGGGTCCGGGCTGCAGTGGACAAGAAGGAGGCAGGGAAGGACGCAAGAGGAGAGGAGAGGGGAGTGGCCGCTAGGAAGGAAGAGGAGAAGAAAGGGAGCGACAGGAGCACAGGCTTGAGCAGGGACAAGGACAAGAAGAGAGAGGAGGTGAAGGAGGTATCCAAGGAGGACGCTGAGAAGGTCAAAGGGGAGAGCAGGCACACGGACAGCAGAAAAGAGGACGAGAAGACAAAGAGAGCAGGTGGGAACGCAGACGTGAAAAGGGAGGAGGAGAAGCTCAAACGAGGAACTGGGAAAACAGACACAAAAAAGGAGGATGAAAAACCCAAGAAGGAAGAGGCTCTGAATGAAAAGGAAGCCAAGGAAGAGAGCAAGCCCCAAACCCCAGAGAAACAGGCCGCAGGTGGCCCGACCAAGCCCTGTGAGGGGCCTGCCAAGGCGGAGGAGGAGGCAGCTCCCAGCATATTTGATGAGCCTCTGGAGAGAGTGAAGAACAACGACCCCGAGATGACCGAGGTCAATGTCAACAACTCAGACTGCATCACAAACGAGATCTTGGTGCGGTTCACTGAGGCTCTGGAGTTCAACACTGTGGTCAAAGTGTTTGCCTTGGCCAACACACGAGCTGATGACCACGTGGCCTTTGCCATCGCCATCATGCTCAAGGCCAACAAGACCATCACCAGCCTCAACCTGGACTCCAACCACATCACAGGCAAAGGCATCCTGGCCATCTTCCGCGCCCTCCTCCAGAACAACACGCTGACCGAGCTCCGCTTCCACAACCAGCGACACATCTGCGGCGGGAAGACGGAGATGGAGATCGCCAAGCTGCTCAAGGAGAACACTACCCTGCTCAAGCTGGGCTACCATTTTGAGCTGGCCGGGCCCCGAATGACCGTCACCAACCTGCTCAGCCGCAACATGGACAAGCAACGACAAAAGCGGCTGCAGGAGCAAAGACAGGCACAGGAAGCCAGCGGACAGAAGAAGGATCTGCTGGAGGTGCCCAAGGTCGGGACCCTAGCCAAGGGGTCCCCCAAGCCTTCACCCCAACCATCTCCAAAGTCCTCTCCAAAGAACTCACCCAAGAAAGGGGGTGCTCCAGCAGCCCCACCCCCCCCTCCCCCTCCCTTGGCTCCACCCCTTATCATGGAGAACCTGAAGAACTCACTCTCACCAGCTACCCAGAGGAAGATGGGAGACAAAGTCCTCCCTGCCCAGGAGAAGAACTCCCGTGACCAGCTACTGGCTGCCATCCGCTCCAGCAACCTCAAGCAGCTCAAGAAGTTAAGTAGTTGTGAGCCTGGGTCAGCGAGGCTGGGGCTGGGCAGGGGCTTGGAGGAGAGGCATGACTGTAAAGGCAAAGCGTGCAGAGAAGCCCACGCCAGGCTGCAGGCAGCAGACAGACTCCCAGGGGCCAGAGGGGCCTTCAGGTCATCTCCTCCATCTTCCTGCCTCTCCCTTAGAGGTGACACTCTGTCCTTCGTTTAAGGAGGACACTTCTAACTCCTCCATCCTACAGTTAAACCCATTTCTCCTTGAGTTGGAGGAACAGCCTCTACATAGTAGTTCTGCCTCAGGCCTTTGATTTAAGTCCTCTCCATTTTCCCAAACAAAAATGGTCTTTGTTTTACTTAATTATCACTCAGGACCAGGCAAGTCTTACAGGTTAGTCTAACCTAAAGGTCTTTGGTAGATTCACCCCTCAGGAGAGTCTACCTTTGACTAACCGGTGCCATGGACGCACGAACCATTCCTGGAGACCCGACTTCTCAAAGGCCTGCCTCCTGGAAGTCCTGCCTGGGGACAGAGTCCATGGTCATTTGCCTGTCTGACTGGATACCCCATCCCCACAACATCATTTGGAACTAGACACCATGAGATAAAGGACAACCTCAGTTGTAGCTCCAGTGGTCATCTGATGACATCCAGTTTTTACAGAAAAGGGAAAATACTCTCTCTGTGTCAACACCTCATTTATTTAATTAATTCATTTATTTGGCAGCTGGCCAGTACAGGGACCAAACCCTGGACCTTTGTGTTCTCAGCACCATGCTGTAACCAGCTGAACTAACTGGCCAGCCCAATACCTCATTTATTCATTCCACAGACATATATTGAGGTGTCCAGTGTACAGTCCTTCCAGAAAGGAGGTAGGTGAGGTGAATTCCAGAAGCCCCCATGCCAAGCTCCCATCTGTAAACTGTCTCTGCTTTGCCCCTACAGGTGGAAGTTCCCAAACTGCTTCAGTAGGACCAGGCTGCCAGGCACGGTCTGCCAATGCCATGACTGCCCAGGCCTCACCTCCCAGGGCTGCACAGACCCCACCCCCCAACCTGGCTGACCTGCTGTGGATGTCTCTATGCTGCCACTGGAGAGCTTGAGGCCTGAGCCACACTCAAGGAAGGATGCCTTATCTCTTCTCACTTTTCTTTTCTTGTCTCTGAGGCTCTCCAAAAATTTTTTTTAAACCTGGAGCTGAGGTTTCAGGACAAGAAGAGTCTTTGTAGCACATCACCGAGAAGATGGCACTGCCTAAAGCCCATGTAGCTGGCAAGCTGCAAAAGGCCTATGGTCCAGGAAGATGTCCCACAGGGACCGCATATCCACCCCAGCCCCGCTGCCGTCCAGGGCCAGGATTCAGGCCTCTGAGGAGCCCTTGGGGCAAAGCCGCCGGGCCGGTGGCACTCTGTGTGGGGCAATGGCAGAGAGATTGAGAGGGCATGGAGCCCGAGGGGACAGCGGGAGGGGCTGAGGATACTCCTCCTGGGGCAGCAGGCCTGGATGGACAGTGCCTGGTGGGGAGTAAGCTCCAGATGGAAGGAGAGGGATAGACAGCAGCTGGACCTAAAGGTCTGATGCCAAAGCAGACATTTTCCTCACACCCACCTGCTGTTGTATAAATAGCTGTGTATCTGTTTTTTCCGTAAGATTTTGATAATATATACAAACCTTTAGCTGTGAACGGCTTTGCCCCACCTCTGTACTATACTGAGGGTCCTGATGCTCACCCTGGGCTCCCTGGAGGACTTTAGAAGCTCAGGTTCCCTGCCCCCGCATTGGAGTTGATCGTGAAGTAAGTTCATATTCGCAGAAAGTACAGCATGGGAGAAAACCTGAACTCTGAACAGAGGACTCCCACTTCCAGGGTTGTCCGGGCCGAGGAGGCCAGGCCTCTGCCGGGTCTGTTCCTAAGCCAAGCTTGCTGCCTGGACTCAGTAGTCAGAGCTGATTCTCAGGGGTGCTGGGCAGAGGAGCACAGGGCCCTGGATGGCTATATTAGGCATGGTCAGGGGATGTTCATTCCATGACTCGTCCTAACTATGGGCTTGGGGCCAGCACCTTGAAGCAGTCACAGGCCCAGGATGGCAGCAGGCAGAGAAGTGGAGGGACTGTTCGGGGAGCAGCACCCACATCGGTGGGCCCAGAGGTGCCTTATCATCGCCAGCTCTCCCCCTCCTACCCCAGCTGCAGGCTGCCCTTCCGACCTGACACTGCTGCCATACCCACTGTGATGTATACATCACAGGCATCTTTCTGACTTATTTGCTTGAAGGTGCAGGCACCCTTTCGCACTGTGGGACTGCCACCTTGGGTCTGAATCACGTGTTGGTCTTTTAGCCTCCAAGTGGGCCCAGAGGTGCCTTATCATCGCCAGCTCTCCCCCTCCTACCCCAGCTGCAGGCTGCCCTTCCGACCTGACACTGCTGCCATACCCACTGTGATGTATACATCACAGGCATCTTTCTGACTTATTTGCTTGAAGGTGCAGACACCCTTTCGCACTGTGGGACTGCCACCTTGGGTCTGAATCACGTGTTGGTCTTTTAGCCTCCAAGTTTTGCCTCAACAGCAGGGGCACAGCAGTTTCACCATCTTTTGGGTGGGGGTGGGGTGCCCAGCTAGGAAGCAGGATTGCTGTGCTAGGTCTGGCCAAAACCAGAGGGCCAGCTACTCCTGGGGACAAAACTTGGATCCCAGGGTACACTCCACTACCCTGCCCTTCCACCTCTTGCCTGTCACCCCAGTAACCTAAGCGGTTTTGCCTCAACAGCAGGGGCACAGCAGTTTCACCATCTTTTGGGTGGGGGTGGGGTGCCCCGCTAGGAAGCAGGATTGCTGTGCTAGGTCTGGCCAAAACCAGAGGGCCGGCTACTCCTGGGGACAAAACTTGGATCCCAGGGTACACTCCACTACCCTGCCCTTCCACCTATTGCCTGTCACCCCAGTGACCTAAGCAATGGCTGGGCTCAGGAGAGGGTAGACAGACACTTGGTGGCTCCTGGGCCTCAAAGTGTGTTAGCTGGAGCTAAGCCCAGCTAGAGCTTCCATTTACCCTGTGCCTCCTGGGTGCTGGGCACTAGGTTGCTTCAGCTGATCCTTCAACTCTGTGGGTTATCAGATACCCACATTCTCTCCATTGTGCAGATAAAGTTTGGCCCAGAGAGGTAAACTAACACATCCATGATCACACAGCTAATAAACAGGTCTTTAGCCCCTAGAGCTGCTCCTGGTAACAATCCTTCCTCGTCCCCTTACCGAAATGAGACTGGTGATGGTGCCTGAAGAAGGCACTAGAAGCCTAGAAGAACCAAAACAACCTATCTCTAAATCTTAAGGCTCCAGTAGAACCTGTCTTCTTAGGAAGCCCTTTCTACCAAAACTTCGAACACGACTTAGCCAGAGGAAAACACCACTCCGTACTGTCCCTGAGCAACCAGGAGCAGTGCTGTTGTCTCCTTCCTCTGCCCTGGCCCAGGATGATGTCACCGTTCCTCTGGTGCATTCAAACCTGATGCGGGGGCACAGCGCCACCTGGGGGCAGGCTACATTCCAGGTTCTCCTGCTGCTCCAGGGGGCGCGCCTGAGCTGCACTGGGGACCTGGGGACTGGGAGAAAGCAGCAGGGGTGACAGGGGTGGAGGTGGGAACTTTGGCGGGGGAGGAGGAAGGGAGGAGATGGACAGATGGGACGGGGCACTGGTCCCGCCCTACAGAACTGTGGGGGGGGGGGGGCGCCCC